CCAGTACCCTGATAGCAATGCAGCTGCTTAGGTCTCTAATAACCATCACTATCAGCAATGAATGTAAACTTTGGAATTGCTTTGAGCTATATGATCAATTTAAATTTTTTGTGCAGTTTGAAAAAGGGGGGATTAATACAAAACAATGTTAGAAGAAAAATCTCTTGACTTTGAAATAACCATTTTTCTAAGAGAACATAGTGAAAAAATTTCCAGATGTAATATGAATTATTTTGACAGGCTGTGATATTTCTGCTGGAAATAGTTCTGAAGGGACACTGGACAGGCTATACTTTGGTCCTCCTTTGAAGCCAATTGCTTCATATCCATTGACTTCAATCAGAACAGTATTATGGCAAGTACCTTTTATAACTGCTTTATTCTGGTTTTTGTTTACAGAAGATAAATTTTTGTATTGCAATACAAGTTTATCTATTTGTCTTTCTAATAACTTTTAAATGCATTTTCCAATTTTAATTCAGTATAACAGAGGATACTCTGATATATACTCTTATCTCCATGATAGTAAATCTCTACAAGTGTCATGAACTTGAGAATTTGGGTAGAAGACCCTGAGCCCTACTAAGGCAAATGCAGAGGGACACTGACCTTTAACCATTTGGCTTGGTCTGCCCAACAACCAAGAGGCAACAGCTTGCATATAGCAACAAACTAATCACGATAACCTGGGCTAATCGCAGTATGTTCCATATTGTAAAACCTCAACTTTACAGCTAAAGATAAGATGATAAAGGGAATGTAAAATGACTGACTAAAAGCTCAAACTTGGTTGGCACTTACAGATTTCAATGGCAATATATTGATGCTGTATTTGATGGAGGACAATCACAAGTCTTCACCATCAAGACTCCATCAATCTCCTTTAAGGACTTTCAAAGAGTCTTCCTCATGGAGTGTATTTACCCTATTGACAGTATTAAAAAGTTTCACTACTTGATGACCCTTTTGTCATGATTTCTACAAATATGGCTGCTGAGTAGTTAAAATTATTCAACATGAACCAAAGAAATTAATGAAGGATGAGCTCTCAATAACCACTAAAAACAACAATCAAATGCAACTTCTTGCTTGAGAAATTATTAATTTTCTTATTGGCAAAAAGGGGAATATGTCAGGTACAAGATTACTCTGTTCGTGCCTGATTCTTACATACTTCCCTGAGTGTCCTGTACTGGCTAATGATTGATCTTTCTCATTAGTCTGGAAATGATGCAATACCAGGAACAGGCACTGGGCCAAACCCATTTCTACTCTCCAGAATTCCACTGAATAGTCAGTGCATTGAGAACATATGAGAGACTAAACCAAAAATAGTAAACACTATACTGGGCTGTTACTTTGGAAATTGGCTACTGGGATAGGTGGACCTTTGGTCTGAGCAGCATGGTTTTCTTATGTTCCCTATTCTTATAAGCTGTTGAAACTTGATTTAAGGTTTTATTTCATTCAGAAGACTCTTTGCTATAACCCAGCTCCCCAGGACCTGCAGCTGCGGTAGAATTGTGGCTCTGGAGGTCGTAACTACTACTGTATAAGCACAGAAGAACAGAAAGCATAAATATGCTGTTTAGAAAGTAAACTGCTCTTCAAAAAAGAAAGTTAAATCTCAAAAATTCAGTTTCTTTGAAGTGTCCTTTAGCTCTAGACTTGAGACCTGTATAGAACAACCCTCTACATGGTATAACATTCACATTTTCCATGTTAGTTTCTAGTTTAAGAGCAGACTCATAAAATTGCTGATGGACATAATTTTGAATGGGACGCTACTGTTCTGTAGCGTCTGGAAACTAGGTAGTTGTAAAAAGTATCTGAATGTGATAATGTCAAAATCCTGTGAATGCATGAGATGGCTCATCTGCATATGATAAAAGAGAGGTTCAGATTAAATAATACAAACTAGTTTATAAAAAAAATGGGTACCATTCTTGAAGTCATCTGGCCTTGTATATTTACATATCTGTAATGGAAACATTTTATGGTCAAAATAGCAATATGCTGTATACAGTAATCCTATCACATTATTATTTCTGACACTGGTTAGGGTTGTTTGGGAGTTTTTTTCCTCTAAGAAAGAATAATCATGATAATCAAGTATCTTCAGTAAATGAGACAACTCTCCCAGATTTTCCTGGTTAAGCACCATATAAGAGCAAATTATGGGGGACAAGATATATTTTATGAAGTTTAATCTTTAATGATTAATGTAAAAAGTACACTAAATGTAGTCAATCAATAGTTCTCTGGGCAGAGCATTTGCAATACTGTCTCTCATTTCTGACAGAAATATTTATGTTAATTACAAGGAAATATGTATGACAAGGAGACTGCCTAAAATTGCATTCCCAAATGAAAATTAATCTGATGTATTCAGCAGATATTGTTGGAAACAATAATATTGATAATATATGAGGAGGGAGATACTTTAGTATTACCCATTGTCATCATACGAGAGTCTACCTATGATGTGGCTGCAACAATATTCAAAATAGAACTTCAACTCTGAGCTTTGTTTTTCTTCCTAGAGGCTTAAAAAACTCCATATTGTCATTCTACTGACTTAAGAAACAAAGATTCTTTCAGTGCAGTTTGAAATGTAGTTCTATATATGCTTGGTGTAAAGAGTTCCTACTATTCTTCAAAGTTCTGATTTTCCTCTGTAAATGTAGTCCTCTCTGCTAACCACTAGTTCCCCAAAGTTCATCATCTGATGGGCCATTATCTGTGTGAAGAAAAGAAACTCTTCCTGTCAGTGCCAAGCAGGGAATTCGTTTTGGGTAGTGATCTCATGTATGAGGGACCCATCTGGGACTGGCTGATGAATGGCTGTAGTCAGACTTCAGTTAAATTCTTCCAAGCAAATTGAGAATGTAAAACATTATCTATGGGTTATATTACTTTTGATTGCATTAAAGCAATAATTTCCTGGTTCCTGTGAAACTTTGGAGATGAGGAAATGTTCAAAAAGTTTTGTGTAAAACAGATGCATGATTCCACTTCCTGTGGCAGGCAGAATACCAGAATTTTATCTGCCAGAAGGGAACTGGCTAAAGTTACCTTCCCCTGCATTTGCATCCCTGGGTTCTTTGGTCACTAACAAGGATTGACCTTAACTACACCTTTCTTCAGTAGATGCACTATTAGTCTCCTGTTTTCCTCTCCTTTAGTCCTTGTTTCCATGATATGCATGAATGTGATCTAATTTTCCTTGGTTGAAATTACTAAGTGAGTTTGTGATTTGTTAAGAAAGCTCATCCATCTCCATGAATGCAGTGTGCAAGTGATTTCTCTAGGAAACAAGGCTAAAAGTGGTGATACTCACATTTTATCCTTTCTGCAAAGTAGCTCTATTTTGACTACCTAGCCAACGTTGTTCAGTGTGAGAACTTAGTAGTAGAAGACTCTTTACCCCAATGGCTTTCACCAGTAATGATCATCCTAGAGGTATTTCAAAACTATTCACGTTGAACTGTGATGTGATCATCATAAAAAATGTGTAGTGAAAGGCATATAGTTCACATGGGAAACTTAAAACATTGTATTATTTCCTCACTGAAAATAAGTCCCCTTTTTAACCTCAGTTACAGGATTCTTTGTTGTAATCTGTGTTTTCTGAGTTTATAAATGGGTTCTCTTAAAATGAAGTAGTTCGAGGCGCTGCAGCTGCCCAGCCCCCGGACTGTTGTTGCCAGCAGTCTGTCCCTTTGGTAGCGGGGCCGTGCTGCATCCCACAGCCCGCTGGTCACCTCCCAGGAGCGTAGGCATGGCCATGCTGAGAGCTCCTGAACAGACACGTTGAGAATAGGCTGAAAAAAAAACAGCTTTCTCCAGGGGTATCAGTCTGCTTTCAATGTAATGAATGCTTTAATTAAACATCTAAACACGTTTCTATTAAGCTTTAGATCATACTGATTTTTAAAGCCACCTTTAAAAGACAATGTAATTTAGATTAATTTTATTAAGCTTGTGTAAATCTCTCGTGACTACTTACTTCTCTGTAAGTAGCAAAGTACTGCAAAAGCAAGAAAACATTATGTTGCTTTTAGCATAAACTTGTTGGCTGTTTTTAGGTAATTTAAGAAATATTGGCTTAAACAAAACGAGTACCCAAGCCATCTCCTGTGTGAATTGAATTTAACGTCATTTATTGATTTAAACTTCTTATTTCTTCACTGGTGGTGTTCAGGTTCGTTTCTTGAGCTAGGGGAAGATGAGTGTTCCAGGCGCACATGGCCGCGAGCTGCGCCGCGCTCGTACGGAGCCCTCGTGCTGTAAGTCCCGCAGGAAGCGCGGAGTGCAGGGCTTGGAGCGGCAGCAGGGGATACGGGGAATCAACCTTTCCCCCGGCCGAACCCTTTGGAGTTCTGCTGCCCCGCCAGCCTCTCAGTGGCAGCCGAGCCGGCAGGCGCAGGGCGGCGGGGACGGGACGGGGCAGAACGGGGCAGAACGCGGCGCTGCTCCAAACGCGGCTCTCGCAAAGGCCCGCGGCCGGCGCAGCGTGCCACGGTCGGACCGGCCTGCCCCCGGCCTGGGCGGGACGGGACGGGGCTGGGCTCCCCGGGATTTCGTAACCGGCCCCGGGGAGGGCTCAGCCGGGCCGTCCCACCCCGGGACCTGCGGCGAGGAGCGGCCCCCCGACCCTCCCCCGCGGCCGCCGCTCCCCTCCCCCGGCCGGCGGATGGACAAATAGTCCTCGTCGCATTGTTCGGCCCCGCACAACTTTGGGCGGCTCTCGGCCGGCGGCTCTCGGGGCGGCCCCGCGGAGGGCGGCGGGGCAGCGGCCGGGCGGGCACGGGCACGGGCACGGGCACGGGCACGGGCACTCCGGTCCCCGCGGCCGCCCCGGAGCAGCGGGGCTCGGGCGGCGCCGGGGGCGGGCTGCGCTCGGCGCGCCCGGGGCTCTGCCGCGGGGTTCTCGCAGCCCGAGGGGCCGCGGGAGGGGCGGCTCCCGCCGGCCTCGGGCCCGCCGCCCGCTCCCGGGCTCTGTGGTCGCGGTCAGGGCTATCCGGTGGCCCCGCTGTGTCCGGCCCGGTTCTGCTGCGGGCAGCGGGACCAGAAGGAACCATCTCTGTTGGGCCCTTGCGCCGCGATTTCTCCTTTCAGGCGCCTTCTTTTTTTTTAACCTCCTTCCCCCAGACAACTTTTGTAGGAATTCTTCTTGAGTGGAGGTCCTTACGGTGAGCTAAAGCTTTTACTCACCCCCTGCTCAACCACAAGCACTTTGTCAGCGGCAGAAAACAAGTGAAGTGTAGCTGTCAGTGCCCCACAGAAGCAGGTTTTGACTTAACAATAGTCACTCTGCATATTTTCTCTCTGATCACCTCCTAAGTAGTACTCTTTCGCGATAGGCTTCACCATTGTAGCTTCCTGCAAATGTTCTAAATCTTTCTGATTGTAGAATATGTTACATAATATATATGTTATATAATTTTAATTACCGCGAGGTAAATATAGCAAGCAGCAAATTCGGTTATCTGTAAGATGGGCTGTACTGATAACAGCAAGCACTGCGTAATCATGAGGCTTGGGCATAGGAACACAGCTCTATGCTCTTTCGTAGGATACTTTTCCAGACTGTTTTAAAGGCAAAGACATTGGAAGAACAGAATGCCTCTCCAAGAACTTCATCCAAAAGTTTCATGCATTGCAACAAAAATACTTTATTTTTTTTTATTGGCTCAAGTCAACTTCCAGGTGAAGGAACACATCAGTGAGAAAATGGAATTGCTTTGTCCACCCTAGTGTAGGAAACAATGTTGTTATCTCCTTATTGCTGACTCCAAATGAGCATTGCTCTCTGTACAGGGAAGTTTACTGGAAGCAGTAGAAACAATTCAGTGATTTAGGTGAGGGCAGGCATTTGTTGTAAGAAACCAAACAAGAACAACACACTGGAGTAGGGAAGAAGGTTCGCTGGCTTTTCTTCAGGACTATGGATTTGCCAAGCAATAGCATTTATCATTAATAAATAGTTGGCTGTGGATGCAAGCTGACTACATACATGTTGATTTAAAGGAGGCATTCCAGTGAAAACTCCATTCTTGGTCAAGTGCTCTGTCGGGGATCACCCTAGGAGTTTGTACAGTTTGGGTGATGATGGTGAATCAATTCAACATCTGTACATTTGAGAATAAATAAGCCAAAAGGAGACATGCAATCTTAATGATTCTATTCACACAGGCATGATACATTAAATAGTAATACGGAATACATTTTCTCACATCCCTGAATGCACAACAGCTGTCTGCTGTATCAAATATTTTTCCTTTAAGGAGTGGGTGGAAAGCAATTCATGAAGGCTGTGAAAACTGCATATGAGTGTGATTATTTTCAGTGAGTTGTGCTCAAGTGATTTGGGTTTTATATTCCTCTTAATTTTTTTATTATGTTCTGTATGTAATTCTTCATTTTCATGGTCACGTTGAAGCATGTGGAAGAACGCTGCCATCGCCATCTGGCAAGTAGCAATTCCCTGATAGCTCTGGTTGGTCGCTGACCATATTGATGTTGGTAGCTCAGCTGTCAGGGCAGTTACCATAAAGATTTACTGTTGGATTGTGTGTTCTGTCAGCGTCTGGAGTTCACTGATGACTTTGTGTGCAGAGGTTTACCTTCCTATTACTTGCACTACTCCATGACAGGCTGAAGACTTCTCTAAGGGAAGGGTATTTACCTACAACACTGATACTTTTCTTTATATGAAATTCATTGATGAAAATATTTTTGGGAAAGCATCTACAGGAATACAGTCCTGATTGCTGGAGTCCTAGCTTGTGAAATCACCATCAAAATTATTAGTGGTTATGATTGCTCTTGTATTTTCCTTCTATCCATCTGTATTGTTGCTCCCTACATAGTGAAGATGTTTTATTTTTAATGAAGTGAAAGAAAAGAGAGTGTAACAGTAACAAAAGGGAGTAGCATCTTAGCTGCTACATAATGTACAGGAAAGGTACAGTCATGTCACAGAACGGTTGGAAGTTTCTGATTTTTGTATGATTTATATACTATACTTACTGCATTTGCACATGTGAGGGGAAAGAACCATATCTAGGAGCTGCAGCAGGAATGAGAGTGAAAGTATTTTCTTTCTTGCAAATGCAAAACCATTGTACCTGTTTGAGCCAGGTTTCAGACACTGGTTATTTCAGATCCTTTAAAATGTTTACAGTATAAACTGCCTTGGGTTTGTTTTTTTTTTTTTCCTTTTTAATGTTGACAACATTGGGTTTTGTTTTATTTTCTGTATATGGCTATGGCAGAATAAGGATATGAAATACATTTTTAAAAAACTCTTTGCAGTGAACAGTAATCATTTATAGGGAGTGGCAGAGCTGAAAGGATTCTAAGTAACACCTTGAGCATGGGGTTACAGATCCTGAGAATAGGTGAAAGAAAGTATTGCATAGATGTAGAACAGCATGCCTTAATGTTTTGAGTGTACACGCTAGTTCCCTTATTAGTGGTATATGATAAGGGGTTAAAAACTGAATGCATTAAAGATTCCAAATCTCACAAATGTGGAAGAATATGTTCAGTACCCAGGAAACATTAGGTTAATTATCTTTTGAATTTTACTGTAACAAAGGATGTGATAGTTACTGATCTTCCACAACAGTTTTAGTTGAGCTACCTGCAGAAGTATGTTCTAAAATTTCTGGCTTGTCCAGCTCACTACAGTTTTGTGTTCTCCAGCACACAAATCTTCTTTAGGTCAGACTCACAGTGTATTTTGGGTCAAAGCATACCTTCCCTGAGGCCTTGTGTACTTGCTAAATTGTCTGGCATAATATCTGGAAAGTTAATTTATGTTCTGATAATTTTTCTTTAAAGCTTGAAGCTTTTCTGAGAGGACCACCAAGACATGGAGGTATAATGCCGAAGAATGGCTGCTACAATGTGACTTTTGGCAATGAGCATGTTTACTTGGCATCTGCACAGAAAAGTGACATGCCATTGTGGAGCAAATAAAACATTTTATGGTATTTTGTATAACTTTAAACCCTTGCCATGGATTATGTGTCTATATAATCTTCTACTCAAAGCTTTTAGCTGCAAATAAAAGCCTATAAATATGAACCTTAAAATCTGATGTCAGAGGGCAAAGTATTTGTATTAACAAAGAATCTACAATTAACTGTATCTTAACAAAAAAAAGTTATAATTTTAATCCAGTTACACATCAATACAAATAACTGTTAGCATTATTACTTCCACTTTCTTTACATTTAGCCAGCTTTCTAATCAATGCTTATCAGGGTTGCAGCTGTACTGACTGGTACTGAGTGCTGCTACTGGTTAAAAGTAGCACTTCCATAGAAACAATATCTTCTAGGTAGGTATATACCGGATCTTGTAATAAAAATATGTTAAAGAATGTTGCTAATGAAATGTATAATGATCTGTGTCAATGGGCACTTCCCTCTAAAGTGTAGTATTATTTATACTTCAAAGAGAAAAAGTACATACTTATATCCCTCAGGGGCACAGAGAATGGAAGTCATTGTGTTGGTATTTTAATACAAATTGCTTCCTGTATTTCTAATTGGCAAATATATGAATATTCATAGAATCACGAGGCCAAATGATCATCCAGCACAAGGCATGTAAGGGAGAAAAATGGAGGAACATCTCCAGAATCTCCAGTTTGTCTTTGCTTGGGGGTGGTAAGTTTGTTACCACATTTCCGTTCCTCCGGAAGATGTCACAGTCAGGGCCTGGGTGGGAAGAGTGGATTTGAAAGGGAAGGGTGTGTGGCTGGAGAGCCCTCGGTACAGCCTGCCGCTTTCCAGAGCTGGGGCACTGCCAAGCAGCCGCCTGTGAGGGATGCGAGCTCCTGCACACTGCGTGCCCTTCCTCACTGCGCTTACCGGCTCCCTGGTGCCTTTTAGGTTCCCCGGGAATTTAGTATCCTTTTTCATTGTCCCCGTGTTTCGTAAATACCCTTGCTACAAAAAAATAGTATGCCCGTAGCTGCATAGATTATTGCTTTATAATTCTGACTTTCGGAGAGAATGGTAGCTGGCCCTCGGTAGCTGGGGTCAGAAAGGAGCAGGCCCAGGCCCAGGTGGTGGCAAGTAGGTGCCACCTGGGGGCTCTGCAGGCTCGAGAGACGGGAGTGCGACGGAGCACCGGCACCGCACCGGCACCGCTCCGCTCGGTGCCGGGGAGAGGCGTGCGCTTGCCTTAGGCCGGTGCGCTGCTGTGTGGGGTGGCTTTGCAGACACGAAATAAACTTCCCAGCAGGACAGGCTGGCAGTGCGGTTTTGTGAGAAGGAGCACAAAAGAGTGATTTGTCTGTAGCGGCTGCAGGACCCAAATGAAGGCGCAGGTTCTTCGCACGCTGCTTCCCATTCCTGCGCGGAAGCCGTTGGGCTGGTTCATCTTTAGCATCACCTGTTTTAGAGAGCTGCAGAGTTTATTTGAATGTGTGTTCTTGTAGTAACAGCCATGTTCTTGTGCTTTGACATGTTACGGTTTTAATGGTATGCATTTAAGAGGAAGCTGCTAATGAATGCTTGAAGATTTATGTAATTTATATGCCATTTTATTTTGAGCAGTAAGACTGTATATTGCAATACTGAAAGTATTCAGGCATATTTTAAGGTATGTGAATTCAGGGTGAGTGCGATAATGTCTTTTGGGGCACGTGCATTGCCGGCAGTGCTGCATGTCGAGGTCTGCTGTCGGTTTGGCTGAGTTGGGGAGCGGTGGGGAGGGGTCTGTTCCCGCGGGGTGCGTATTTCCCTGAGCGGCCCGAGGGGCCCCGCTTCTGCCCATCTGCTGGGGCGTCCGGGGGTGAGGCGGGTGCCGGGGCGGCTCCCGGGGTGTCTGCGGATCCCCGCCCGCCCGGTCGGCAGCGGCGCGGCGCGACAAGGGTTAAGGCGGCGGCGCTCGACGCGGAGGGATACGGAGCCGGAGCCGTGAACGTGGTGCTGAGGCTCTGTAAGCAAAAAAATGTCCGCCTGAGGGAACCCACAAGTTCCTTCCAGCGGGGGGGGAGCGCTCGGCTCGTCGCCTCCCAGCCAGCCCGCGGCCCGCGCGCCGCCGCCGGCCCGGCCCTGGTCACCGGAGCGAACAGGGGCAGCGGGTGAGTGCGGGCGGCCGCGAGAAGTTGGGAGAGAGCGGCGGGGGCAGGGAAGCGGCGGCCGGGCGCTCGCAGGGGCAGAGGCGGCGGCGAGGGGACGGGGCCGCGGGCGCGCGGGCGGGAGCGGGGCTGCCCGGGGCGGCGGCGGGGAGACCGCGGGGCAGGCGGAGGCTCCGCCGGGGACCCCGAGGGGCGGCAGCCGGGGCCGGCCGCGCGGGCGGGCGGGCGTGCGGGGTCTCCGGGCCGCGGACCGCGGGCAGGAGCGAGTCCCCGCGGGCGGCGCTCGGCGGCTGCCCGTGCTCATAAAGGACCGGGCGGCTCCGAAACTTGCCGGGGCGCGGGGCCGCGGCGGCTCCCCCGCGGCGCCCGCCGGCACAAGGGAAGGCGCGGGCCCCTCCCGTCCCCGCCGCCGCACGCGCATTCCAGCCCCCCCCGCCCGCTGGCGGCGCGCGCGCCCGGTCCCGCGTGTGCGCGCGCGGCGCGCGGGGGCGGCTCCCGGCCCGCCGCGGTCCCGAGCGCGGAGCGGCGGCCGCGGGCCCCGGTGGGTGGGTCGGGAGAGAGGGGGAGGGGGAGCCGGCACCGGCGGTGGGCGATAATGCCGGGGCAGAGATGGCTCTGCTGAGGCCCGTCCGGCCCCGCTCGTCAGCCCCATTGTTGCGGGGACAGTGAGTCACTTAATCTCTCGCTAATTCTCCGGACCTCGCCGGGCCGCGGCTGTTTACTTGCTTTCTCTTGCCTGGGGGGGACTTAATTCCTGCGGCGTGACCGTGCCTCGCTCGAGGCTGGGGGAGAAGCGGAGTAAGGCGAGGAGGGAGCCTGAGGAAACTTGAAGAGAGTTGGTTAGTTGAGGAAGCCGCCGCCGCCGGTTCCCTCAGCCCGGCCGGCCGAGCGGGGCTCCCCCGGGAGTCTCCGCCCCGCCCCGGGGGTGCCGGTACCGGAGGCCGCTCTTCGCCGGGGCCGGTTCGCGCCGGGAAGTGCTGCCTGTGCCTCTCCCTGTGCCCTAGAAAGGTGATCGGAGGAGCGGAGGAAGATGAATTCCCAGCAGCAGAGGATGGCCGCTATAGGAACTGACAAGGAATTGAGCGACTTGCTGGACTTCAGTGCGGTAGGATATTCTCTGAGGGCTTCTCACGACTGCTCCGTGGTCGTGCGAAATGAGGAGCAGGGGCAGCAGCGTGCAGGGCTTGGCTGGGTCTGCCTCAGCCAAGTTGGACACCTGAACTTTGATGTAATGTCTAGACTTCTAGATTTAATACTGTAATACCAGCTGGGTCAATTGGTTTAACTGGTTAAAATCAGGCTGACCCAGTGCTGGCATAATCTAATAATTAACATTGGTTAAGCTGGCGTGTGGCACTGGTACCTTGGCTTCTGAATGTGTTTTTGTTCTTTGTTTTGTTTTTTTTTTTTTTTTTTTTTTTTAACAAAAGAAAAATTACTTCCCACAAATAAAAGAAGTTATCAATTGATGGGCTTGGCTAAGAAAATTGTAGGTATTTTCTGTGTGCTGCTTTTAACATACCAAAAAGGCTCTTGATTTATAACTATAATACAAAACTACTGGATCTTAAATGCTGTCTTTGTGCAGTGGCATTATACTTGCAGGTCAGTAAGAAATATAATTGAGTAAAAATATGTAAGTCATGTAACTACTTGAAATAGTTCCAGTAGTAGTAGGTGTCCTTTTAGTTTTAAGTTGTTTATGTTCCTGTAGAAATGAGGCTTTGGTCTTATTAATAAATTTCAAGGAGTACTTCAGCTTATTGGTTTTGTGTGTCTAAACATGCATCTTGCATTCTGTTTGTTTTCAAGCAAAAATAGAAAAACTATTGTTTCCTATTAACCTTTTTTCTGTTTACATTAATAATTCAGCACAGACTTTCAAAGCCAACTAAAACATGTCTCTTTTTTTTCTTGTTTTGCAGATGTTTTCCCCACCTGTAAATAGTGGAAAAACCAGACCAACTACACTAGGAAGCAGCCAGTTCAGTGGATCAGGTAGGATGCATCCGAGATACATAATGTTCATCTCACTGGGTCTTAATGTTTCAGTGTAGTCTCCATGTTCTCAGAGTATTGTAATCTTGTGCATATTCTCATAAGATATTCAGATCAGTTAGAAATGTGCTGTATTTTTATAGTGATTTTGCTAACTTTAACCATGGTTTTCCTCTCTGTCTTAGAATATTAGCTACAGTACTGTGGAGTGTTGAGTGTCTCTAGCCATACTGACATGGAAGTTGTGTATTTGTTGTACTAAAAATGAATGACTGTGTTGTTTTTATTTGAGAAAATCAAATTTAGCTGTTCAATTGAAGAATTTCCTAACCCCCTCTGTATGAAGGGAGAAAACTTCTGTAAAATGCCAAATAGTTAAATACTCCTGACTCAAGGACATGCTATTTTTAAATGCAGTACTTAAGCAAAATGTGAGTTTAATACTATTTTCTAGTACTGTGTAGCTCTCAATGATTTGACAAGTAGAATTTTCTTGTGTTGAATCTTTATCCATGCATCTGGAAAAGCAAGTAACTGTATATTTACATGTTGCGTGTGTTTTGTGGCTTTAGTGTATTATCACATTATCACAGGGACCACCTAATACCTGTATCAGAGACCTTTGAGCTAAGACTGTAATAGCAGTTTTAAAACAGATGCTTTGTGTCATTCCCTAAAGGGAATATTTATTAGTTACTACAAAAGAGAAACCAAAGTAAGTTTTTGATAAAACTTTTTATGTAGGTTCATCTTGTCTGAATACAGTGAAATGATATTTTTCATCTTATGGATACAACAAAGTGATGTTTGTGTTTTAGTTAATGAAAATAAATGTTTAGAATGCTAGTAGAGAAGTGAAGTACTGCCTTGAAGTTTTGCAGCGACATCCCCTGTTAGCCTCTTAGGTTGTTAGGGCTGTTACTTTGAGAGTCCAAATGACACTGCATTTTAGTAACACACGAGGATTTTTGTTTTTAAAAGCATCTTAAGAGTTCTCTATGCAGTTATTTTTCAAACTTTCCAGAGACTCTCACGTTTAATGTAATGAAACTACATAGCAAATACAATTGTTAAATACTTGAAGAAGTCTGTTAGGTTTTCTTCTAAAATAAATCACTGGCTTTCTCTTCCTCTTTGAAAGTATCAGGTTTAAGTTAATGGCAATGGCAAGATAGCAAATCTGTCTTACAATGTAGTTAATATTTACATTTTTAAAAAATACAAGTATTTAAGAGTTGTTTCTCTGAAGCTTGTTTTAAAAGACATTCAGGTACCTAAAACTTAATTGTCCTTGCTTTTCCTGAATGAGTAGAATGATTTTCTATTAAATAATAAAGCTTTAATTTTTACTTTAGGTCTTAGAGCACTGCTAAGTAATGTGGCATGTCCTATTTGTAGGTAATGCTTCCCTTTCTTCCCTTGGATGTTTTAGAAAAAGAGAGAATACCAGACTAGTTAGTTTCTTTAATAGAATAATAGTTTCTTTTAAGAGAAGCAGTGTAAGTGACTCCTTGAATTTCTTTACCAATGTGGTGTATTCTCCTATAAATGCCAATCTTCAGTACAACACTACAACTGTCAGACAAGCTACAACCTCACCTGAGTTCCCCTTGGAATGATAGTAGTATATATTCATGGATTTTCATTAAAAATGTTTCTAGTTGTAGAAATTTACTGGTTATATACCCTAATTCTGGTAATGTTCTGATCTAAGCTTTCACCTAGGGTGATTACTCTGCAGGAGTGAGAGGTGACAAACTTCTTTATTAGTTGTGTTCTGAGACAGTGTTAAGTATTGTATAAAAACTATGTCAAGATCAGCGATGAAGTACAGGCATTTAATTTCTAAGTACTTTGATTTAATTTGTGGTCTTACTATAATTTCAAGTGTTTTGTAACTTCTAAGACAAAAAATACTTAAAAGCTTTTTTTTTTTTAACTGAGTAGAGGCCCCTTTAAAGAGAAAAATGGAAAGAGGAGGTATTTATTCCTTTGAGCTATCTAGGACTGAAAAATCACACTGTGTGCAGATTCCTAAAAAGTGCTTCTTTTTTTCTTTGGGTGTTGCTGCCTTTTACAGAGTCTTTCAGTGTTTTTGATGGCAATTAGAGAAGTGAAGCTTGCTTTAATATCTTTGCCATCAAGCTCAGTTTTATTTTTGTGATATTTTTACAAGCATACTGAAGGAAAGTGCTTTCTTTTTTTTTAGTTGGAGTAAGACTGTGTTCATTGTTTTTTATTTTAGAGCCCCCTCTTACTCATTTAAACTTAAAATAAACATTTGCAAACACCTCTCCTCCCCCTTCAACCTGTCAGTGATTTGAGATCCCATTAAGTAGGTGAAGATCAATTGTATGTCTACGTGGCTCTTAAGACTGTATATTTGGGAAATCTGATTTAGAAGGAAGGAATGCTCATGATGCTTTTTCCTTACTCCCCACCAGTCCCTAGTTTAAAAGGACAAACTAGTTGCTGTTAAAGAATGCTTAAGTTGTTTGTTTTTCAGGTGTAGTTTTGTGAAGTGTTGGAAATACTGGAGTGTATATTATTAATCCCGATGTAATAAGCTTGATTTGCTTTAATTCTGCAGGACTTCTGTTGATTATATTTTAGGAATATATGTGTAGTTGGTTTACATTAATAAAACAGCTAATACAGCTGTTCTATAATTTATAAGAAATTGCAGTCTTGGATTAACAGATGAACATTTTGTTTTGATTAAAAGATAGCTGGGGCAGGCTTGCTTTCTACAGGTCAATCAGTTACGAATGAAAGTTGCAGATAAAATAAGTGAACTAATCTGATATATTGTAGTATATTATGACAGTAAGTCATGTAAGCTGTTGATAAAGTCAAATTACTTGTTCAGACTGCTGGTGAAAATAAACATATTGGAAAAGTAACCTGATAATGTAAGCCTGTGAGTTAAGCCACAAAATATTCCTTGTCATACCTGCTGTACTTAATTCTTGTTCAAAACAGAACTTGTAATTCTTTCCTCCTCCAAAACCAACTTCTGAAGATGAAGGCATTTCTGTCTTAGAAACTCTAGCAGAAGGTGGCAAACATCAGAGGTTTGTTCCATTAAGCTTTTTAATCTGGTAGTTTTTTTTAATTTTATGTAAAATCTAAATCTTCTGTTACTACTGTGGCTAAAGGTAGTGTTTGTGATTTACAGTGACATTTTGCTTGTTTTGCTGTTGTCTAAGTTACAACATGTATGCCAATACAGACTTGGATGATGACTGATTTTGCCCAACACCCTTTATTTATTACAGTAATTCCACTAACAACCACTCACAATATGCACTTGTACACCATAGGCTATGGTAGTGCAGTTTTATGGTTTTTAGTAGATTTGATCTCAATCTAAGTTTTTCCTGGAACTGATTTTTTTTTCAATCTCAGATTTGGTATCCTAAAATAAATACTTTTTTTTTTTTGTCTTTTGCAAAGAAGAATAACTCTAAGGCAGTGTTTTTCTGTGGCCTACAATTTTCAATTTAGTACCTTTTCAGTGTACTAATAGCATTATTTATTATTTTTACGTGTGGCTGTGCACAGGCATCAGTGAGGTATCAATCCAAGAGATGAACTAAGATATTGTGGATGTATAGCAGAAAAAAGGGATAACAGTTTAAAGTAAGAGGTACA